AGTGTATAAAGTGGGCAGTGTGGGCCATTACCGCTTTGAAACATCTATAGCAGTTGACACATATTAAGCTGATTACTTCGCGGATTTCACCTATCTCGAGTTACTGTTAGAGCGCCACTCTCGCGAATAAGGAGGGACCACTGCATTGCGAAATGTTTAGTGTCAAAGCAGAGCTCATTAATATTCACAACCCTTCCAAATAAGGTCAAAATGAAGCTTTTCTTTTTAAGTGTAATTCCTATGGTTGTAAATGAGCATATAAAAACATATCTGGAGAATTTTAGCAACTAAGCCACATACCTACTATGATATAGATATAGATATGAGAGAACAGTTTAACATATTGAACCAATGCATTCTATGGCACCTTTAAGCCTTTGGTGCATGCCACTGTGAATACAACCATCTGAATATTCTTAGCATGCATTCTAGAAGTTAAATTGCTTATTAAAATATATAGATTTTTATATACATATACATATATATATATATATATATATATATATATATATATATATATATATATGTATATATATATATATATATATATATATATATATACACATACATACACACACACACACACACACACATATATTTATTTTATTATTTATTTATTTATTTATTTTTTACCTTATAAGGAGCTAAGCCCTCCTAAAATGTAAATCCTAAAATCGCCCCTGTATCTGAGTACTTCTACTTAGTGCTACTTTATTTCCTTGCCTTATAGACCTTTTTCTTAGAATGCAAAATTATCCATTATGCTTTGCGTGTATAGGTAGGGAGGATGCTTCGAACTTCCAGCCGGCAGCTTGATGCATATTAACAGTCACATTTGGACAGCTTTAAAACAATAGTTTTATGGTAGGGTTAAGGGGAAGGGCTAGATAACCCTCAAAATTAAGATTTTTCAGGACCACACTCAAAACCAAGGGGTAAGAAAATTACCCAGAATACACCATCTATAAGCTGCACCCAGAAGTCAGAAGATGCACAAATTAGTATATATATATTTTTTGTCATTATTGCAAATATTAGTATATTCATAACCGCGTTTGTGTTTTACCGTCATGCTTTTAAAAAAAAAAGTAAAAAAAAAAACCCTGTAAATTTCGCTATCTATAATTTCTAATTATAACTCCTGTATTGCAGTCCCACAACATTCTGACTCTCAGTGACACTCAAATTCCCTGTCAAAGCTTAATTATAATATCTTAATAGAAGCTTCAAGTTTAAACATGATGTCTCATATGATAATCGTCAGAATGACCACTATGGCCATTATAGCAGTCATAATTGTGATGGTTAAAGTGTTAAAACCATATGCGTGAGAATTAATGATGAGGTCACTTTCATTTTGGGGTGAACTGTCTCTTTAAAAGGCAAAAATGCTTCATGTTAGTCAATGCAGCTCAACATGAAGAAAAGAGTAAAAAGCCTTAACAATTTTTCAGATTGTAGAACATTCCAGCAAGTCAGGCAGGCAGGAGAGTAGTGGTTTGTTCGTATAAAGTGGATTGAAATAAACGGATGTTTTTAATTGTGGATGTGCACACAGACTCTGGACTTCTCTCTGGAGGAGCGGCTGTGTCTGGCTGAACTCACTCTGGCTCTGGACAATGAGTTACTGGTCAGTGGGAATGGCATCCATCAAGCTGCTCTGGTCTCCTACAAGAATGAGATTAACTACTTGCAGTGAGTGTCTTTCACAACAGGTTTATATTCATTCACAAATACTGTTGCAAAATCTCCAGATATTATGCTCTACCTGAAAACTAACTAAAGCATTTTTTAATGGTCGAAGATTGAAAGGGATTTTACCTATTTATCTCTAAGAAATCATTAAATAAAATGATGATTGTTTTAGTTATTTATACATTTGTATATTTTAATAAGTACACATCCATCCATCCATCTATCTTTATTACCATTTAGAGCAATGTAAACCATAACAATGGTCCTGATGTGTTTCCTGTATTGAAATTTTAACATTAGGATATGATTAAATTGTCTGGTTACAGTTATTAAGTACATTGGTAACAAGCAGAAAATGTTCATGGGCCAGTGACACTGCCACATTGAAATGGTCTATCGTATATGGAATATTTCACCAATATTCTGATATTACACTGTATAATGTGCCTGCGTAGGTGTTGAGGGCTACTCAAAATAATTTTTCAATTGTTCGATGTGGCAATGCTGAGTCTGAATTATAGTTGAACAGGCCACACAATTGCATTAAATTACTGTATTTCTATGGATTATATACAATTTATGCAACAACAAACAAGGTTTTCTCACTTAAGTCTTTGTATTGTTTTTAGTCCATATATCTTCATTTGAAAGCAAAAACAAGATTATTTTATTTGCCCCACTGGCAGATTATTTCACTTGTTTTAAGAAAAATCTCTTCATTTTGTCTTATTTCTTCTTTTTACTTGATCTAAGATTTTGTAGATATTTGGACTAGAAATGAGACAAAAGCAATGTAAGAAAAATATGTATTGTATTGTGTGTGTGTGTGTGTGTGTGTGTGTGTGTGTGTGTGTGTGTGTTTTTCTGTACCAGAAATTCCCTAGAAAACCATCAAATAGAGCTATTCAAGCTATCTTGTGAATTCATATATTCATATGGCAATATTTATAACAGAAAAATAAAATCTCTTATTTTTCCAATATCATGCAGCTCTTGTGGGTGTGTGATTTTTCTGAAAATCTTAAAAAAATAATAATAATAATAAAACAAATAATAATAATATATATTTTTAAAATAATAGCATGCTTTTATGTAATGGTTTTCTGAATTAATCTATATATTTGTGTCTGTGCTTTTCTGAAAATCTTAACCACCACCACTAGTAATAATCACAATATTAAAAGGAATAATAACAAAATAATAATAATAATAATAATAATAATTACTTCTATGTAACTATTTTCTGAAAATTGCATTATATATTTGTCTGTTATCTCTTATTACTACTACTACTACTACTACTACTACTACTACTACTACTACTACTATTATTATTATTATTATTATTATTATTATTATTATTATTATTATTATTGTTACTGTTACTGTTGTGCATCGTTTATTTTTGCACTGACATTTTTAGGACAATTTTATTTTTATTTTTTTGAGTGCGTGTTCATCTTGTGGTATTTAATTTTGATGGTGGTTCTCAGTACTAGTTGTATTCTATAGTTAAGCTAGATTTGCCATTTGTAAAGATTATAATAAAAGGACAAGATGCAGTCATGTATTAATATATGACCAGTTATAAATGAATCATTTCATTGCAGCAGTATTGTGAAATGGGTTTTGCACATAAGCAAAAACAAGGAAAGTAAATTGTTTTAATGTATAAATGTTGTCCTAAATTTATTTTAAACTAGCGTATTTAAGTAATTTATTTATTTCTTTTTGAGAGGGAAAGTCCATGCCTCATGACATTGTGCTGAGCTTTTAAGTTTTTGTCTCCACCTAGAGGAAACATTGTTTCTATGTGAAGTTATTTTTTTATTTTATTTTACCCCCTGTGCTGCAATTATTCTTTACATGCTTTTATTCCAGGATGTGAAACCGCTGCTTAGTTGTCATCACCGTTCTCCAACAATTATACAAGTTTAACAATGAGCGAATGATCTTATAGTGTGTTTTTATTTTGTGTTGCACCTCTATAGAGTTCTAGCAGACCAAGCCTGTCAAGAGCGGGACAAAGCGAAGGCAGACCTAGAACAGGCTGATCGCAGAAACCTCCAGCTAGTCCGAGAGGTGGATGATCGTCACGCAACCATGGAGTCTCTTAATGAGTCTAAAATCAAGTACAACTTCTCTCCTATAGTCAGTAAAATCATTTCATGAATATCTAGCTCTACAGCTTTGTGTGTGTTTGTTTTTAGGGATCTGGAGCAAGAGTTCCGGGATAAGCTTACAGCACTGAGGAGCGAGTCGGAGTATGAAAGCGAGGTTCTGCTGGAGCAGGTGGAGAAGGAGAGGGAGAGACTACGGGACGAGCTGCAGCTGCTCAGATCTCAGGACATCAGCCTTCAGGAGGACATGTGCACTACTGCTAATGTAACTACCACGATCATTATTATAATAAGTAGAAGTATTATAAACATTTTAACATAAAAAAAAGTAGGGTGGTGGGCACGGTGGCTCAGTGGTTAGCAGTTTGAGTCCCTGCTAGACCAGTTGGCATTTCTGTGTGGAATTTGCATGTTCTTCCCGTGTTTGTGTGGGTTTTCTCCTGGTGCTCCAGGTTCCCCCACGAGTCCAAAGACATGCGGTACAGGTGAATTAAATAAACGAAATTGATCGTCGTGTATGAGTGTGTGTATATCCCAGTATGGGGTTGCAGCTGGAAGGGCATCCGCTGTGTAACACTTATGCTGGTTTTAAGTTGGCAGTTCGTTCTGCTGTGGCGGCCCTAGATTAATAAAGGAACTAAGCTGAAGGAAAATGAATGTAGTCATAATAATAATAATAATAATAATAATACATTTTATTTGTATAGCACTTTTCCAACATACATGCAACTTAAAGTGCCTCACAAACAACAACAAAAAAGCATTAAAATAGACCAGAGGTTCTCAAAGTGGGGGTCGGGACCCCCCGAGGGGTCGCGGGACAATGAAGGGGGGGTCGCCTGGTGATTTTCGAAAAACAATAAATTTTTATTAAACATTAAGACTTACTGTATTTTATCAATAACCTACTGAAGAGAAAAAATAGTCGTTTATAGTTACTATAAACTATATAGTTACTATAGTAGCTTATACTTACTAGTTCTATTGGATTGCGACTTCTCGGGTAATTACATTATACTAAAGACACAGCAATACTGTTAGATGCAGCAGACTGATTTTATAACACCAGGTTAAACTTTCTAGCCCATTTACAGCACTGACATGCATAAAAAAAACAAAGAATAGACTTGGGTCTATAGGTGTGTGTGTGTGTCATTGCATACAAGGTTTCTGTATTTATAACCACCACCTCAGAGAATATTGAGGGTCACGAGTCCCTGGCATTGTCATTTTGGGGGTCGCGGGCTGAAAAGTTTGGGAACCCCTGAAATAGACCACATAAACTTGTCCCGTATACTCGGATAAAAGCATTCATGTACATAGAATATAAGCATATATCCACATGATCACGCACACAATAGTCCTTATATATGAGCTGGACGATATTAGAAAATTCACATTGCGATTTATTTAGATTTTAGGCATTAAAAGGGGCTTAAACTAGTGATTCTCCAAATTTTTTGGCCGCTGAAATAAAAATTCAATAAAAATTCTGTCCGAACCTCTTGCATACACCGGAGTAAAAAAAGATAATCCAGTGATAATTAATATTAATTTAGGGATTTATTGAAACACCTGACACCTTTTTTTGTCTACAAAACATGACTTCCTCACAAAGCTGGTTTACACTCGATGCGTCCGCTAGTTTGCTTGAGTGTGTGCGGAGAATGTGACGTCATCGATGTGTTTGCAGAGGTTCGATTTGGGTGTGTGCGACATGATTTCAGCTGGCGGAGCTCATGTCTTTTTTTTTTTTTTTTTTTTTTTTTTTTTTTTTTTTTTTTTTTTGAGACTCAAACAGTTGAACAGAGTTTGATTTGACTTTAATATGAATTACTTTTAAGAGATTTTGTCTGAAACGGGTACAACTGTACAGACATCTTTATGATCCTTGATCATAGAGCTAACCAGATGACCAATAATTCTTGGCTATAAATTGCAACAGCAGTGGGAAAGGAGGAAAGTTTTTGTTAAAAGTTTGGAAAAACCTTAGGGATGAGTTTGTTAAAGCCAAAAGAGGCCATGGCAAAAGTGAAGACCCAGGTACAAAATTACAGAAGCTGCGTCCCAAATGGCACACTATACACTATGCACTCATGCACTATGTACTTATGCACTTACACACTTAACAGGGTAGTATACTACCCTAGTAGTAGGGTAGTATGTATGTAGTGTCGTCCCAAATGGCACACTAATGTTTTTTTTACTAAGCGGAAATTCAAACCGTTTCCCTGATGACGTTTGACGGTTGCTAAATCATTGAAGTAAACGGCCGAATTATCAAATAATACCTGCCGTGAGTGTTGCCGCAATCACTATCGGGAGGCGCTATAATCACTCTCGTAGGAGAATTTTGCTTTCACCATCCAAATTAAATAAAGTTATTCAACATGTGCGTCCGATAGCTCCGCCCCCTTCAGCTACGTAAGCAAACCTGCGGTCATTGAGTGCGTGAAGTGTCCATCATTACACACTTCATTTTAGCGGCTGAATGAGTGCATCATCCGGGTAATTAAAGTGCACTTATTATTTTTAGAGTTTTAGTGTGAACACACTATTTACACTATTTATACTACAAAATGGCGTAGAATAGTGCATAAGTATGCGATTTGGGACGCAGCTAGAATATGTTTTTCCACCAGTTATTGGTTTTACACTACTGTATATATTACAATTTAGAATTTTAAACAATTTAATAGTTATAAAACTATAATTTAGGAACACAATATTTCTTTGATAACTGGAAAAGAATATTTAAACCTATCAGTTTACAATGTACTGTTGCCCTGTTTTTCTAGGCTTTATTGGTGATAATGGTCAGGAATGATAGACCGTTATTGCCTTTTACCATAGGAAGAAGACAGAAACTAGCCAGACAGAAATGTTGATTAAGTGGGCTAAATCTAAAAAAAAATCAGTATTTTTTGTAAGTGTACGTTTCTTTTGCTCTAATTCTTGCCATAAAAAATATATTTCCATTTACAGCGTTGATGCATTGTTAAATAGACTTCAGCATTCAATTAGTTGTTCAAGTGTAAAACAAAATGAAAGACCGTGTAACCGCTAGTGCCATCAGGAAAGTGCAGAAACTTTAAAAAAAATTACAGTTTATTTTACTCAAGTATTTTCAAAGACATTTTATCTTAATGCAGTGCTTCTTGTCTGGTCTGACACTCACGTTATATTGTATATCTATCAGGCAGTGAAGATCATTGTTTTTAAAAGAAATGAGACCTTATCCGTGGCAACACATTAAGCTTTTACCGGAAGTTTAACACTGACTGGAAAACATTAGCTGTGCATATAGTCCATTGAAGATTCTGATGCAGCACATTTTACACCCACATGACCCCTTTAAGCTTTCCTTGTTTACTGTTGGTTACCAAGTTACCAATACTACATCAAATCATACACTCATTTAGTGTACAATATATGAACTCCACACCATTCATTAGACACCACATCAAAAAGAGTGAACCCTGCTTTTAGATCATGCAGAAAGTCTCATTGTTTACATGATTGGTTCCCTTGGCATCCTTCCATTCATTTCCTTGCAATCCCACTGAATTGAGTTTCCCGATGCCGCCGCTCTCACCTACAGTCCACGGCTCAGTGAAGAGGTGATCTGTCACGGTTAGAGGTGTATGTTTCTTTGAGCATGTCAGTGTGGTGTCAGGTTAAATAACTCTAGCTGTGTGTTACAGGAGAACAGGCGATTGGAGGAGGAAGTGAGCGCTCTTAAGGAGAAGCTGACTGAGGCGGAGAGCGCCATCTCAAAGCTGCAGAATGATCTAGATCGCCTTCTGCAGGACAAGGCAAGACGTCTGAATGTCAGTTTGCTATTGGATTTTTATCATCAGTCATGATTGCTGATTTTTGATTTTGTCTTACATTAACAGTATGATGGCCTGGATGCAAATGGCACAGGACTGCTGAATCAAGAGGAGCAATTCACAGAGATCTTCAAGGAGTACGAGCAGCAATGCAGGGTATGAGTGTGGGTGTTTTGTTTACAGTGAAGGGTGACTTGTATTTCAATGGGCATGATGCATGCCATCCTATAATTCATGGTGCATCAAATGACAGAGGTGTGCTATTACTTTAACTGCAAGTCTAGAGTAGTAATTATAACCTAGGAATCATTCATTTTAGCAATATGCTAATACACAAAAGCTACTATGCTACAATGATGTTTATTTTTAAAAACTGCATTATGTCATTTTTGCCACTAGAGGCACTTATTCACAACAAACAAAGGTGTATTTTGATGATGCTGTGACTAAGTGTGAAGTCATGGGAGTTTTTATGACGTCCTATGGGACTACGGGATGTAATACACATACATACATACATACATACATACATACATACATACATACATACATACA